ACCCGCATGTGGGCCCTGAAGGCCTGTGGGCCCTGAAGGCTTCAAAAATCCTGTATAAATGGATCTTATGGTAATGTTTGTAATATCGAATGATTTGAAAGTAAGTATACTAGAATATTAAGGATCTTTGAATAATAGCATGTCTACACTGACTCTGACACTTGTCAGTTACACCGGTTCTACTTGACGTTCATAGTGAAGCACGCTCTACTGGTGGTATAGCTGTTCCAGTACAAGACGTTCTGAAAGTATACTGGAATATTAGTTATTAAGGATCTTTCAATATGATGTCTACACTCTACTAGTGGCAAAACTGTTCTCCTACAAGACGTTCTCTGTGAAAGCAAGCCGCTGACGTCGAGATCTGCGGCTTGCAGGTTCACGCGGTTCAGCTGGTCGAGGGTGTTCTTGGAGGTGCTGATTTGGGTGTGTGGGGGCACCAATGGGTCTAGGGTTTAGGGTTTAGGGTGCTGCTGGCAGAGGCAAAGCAAGAACAAATTAGGATTTCCTGTAAACACCCAGCCCAACTCCTCACAGGACGTACCGAAGCATGTAAGGACCAACGTGAAGTCCATCATGGCATTGGCTCGGTGCGGTTGGGTACTACACTAGCAAACCCTAAACCCTAACCCTAAACCCGAAACACTGGAATACACTCACTCACCCAGCTTGTTTTCATTTGTCAGCCCCTGGAAAGGGTCTGTTTGGGTTTAGGCCTAAAAAGCCCAATACCCCTCAGTTACTGAATTTTCCTTAATTGTTCTATAGGGGAACCTTAGTATGATGTACGGTATATTCCTGACTTCAGCGGTACTGGAATCTTTGAGTTAAGGGCTCTACCCGTCATTTGCCCCAAAGGGGCCTGCAGATTTTGCGCCGTCTGGGCACTCAGCGCAGCGTTGCCGTTCTGGGCAGAGGAAGCTGAGAGTCGATCCCCTTTCACTTTTAGGGTTTAGGGTTTAGGGTTTAGGGTTTAGGGTTTAGGGTTTAGGGTTTAGGGTTCTTCTACCGAAAGGTGGCCCAAACGCTGTTGAAACTGCACTAAGCAACTAGGTTCAGAGTACCTTTGATAGATCAGCCTACTCTGGCTCTAGACTATGGGGTATTTTTTACTGGAATGAACGGAGGTCTTCATCTGGCAGGGGCTAGAAGACTCCTCACTAAGCCTCAGCCTGCAGAACCCAAATCCGCACATCATTGCGTGGAAGACGACTGGCGAGGGCCGTTGCTTTGCGGGCGCAGGCAGTCCGCTTTGACGCTCTCAGAGCTTCCTGTTGGCAAAAGACCGCGGCGTGGATGCTCTTGAAGCGCTAAGTGAAGCGCAGCTGCTACTGGTGGCCGGTGTCGGGCGCTTGGGTGTGGGGGACTTTGTTTTTGTGGGAATGGGGCGCAAGTTGTTGACAGACAGAAGTTCAGACTCCGTAGAACTCGCTGTGGGCGTCGCGGCGTTGCGCTGGAAAAGTCAGCTTGGTCTCACGATGCCTCCAAAGCTGTCCCAGTCCGCCCCCTTTCCTGAGGCGCAACCCGGACGGGTTTAGGGTTTGGGGTTGATGTGGTTGCTGCTTCATGGATGTACTTTCCAATGCTCCAAAGGCCCCTTCACTGCGCAGGCTCAGGGTAGGGAGACTTGCCCTTGCCTTGGAGATGTGCCGCGCCGCATGCAGTGAAAGGACGCCTATATATGGTGGCCTCCACTGCCTTGTAATATGCTGCAATGTGCAGTAGTCGGCGAGGCTAGGGCAATTCGGAATGGTGTGTACTCGTTTGACTACTGCGTTTGAGCATGTACTGCGCAGACTATCGCGTGGCCTCAGTTGCAGGGTTGGTAGGTAGGAAAGAAACGGAGACCTTCAAAACAACCAGGAAACACATGGGAACAAATAAGCAGCGCAACTTGCTAGACGTCGATGCTTCTCTTGCTGTACGGCTCAAACTGTGAGGGTTCAGGGTTGAGGGTTATAGGGTAAGTTCGCTGTAAAGAGGGTTTCGTGTTGGGGGTTTAGGAAGACATGAAATGTAGAGCAAGAAGGCAACACGTGGCACACAGCATGTAGGAAACTTCAATAGAACTTGTACGCAGGACAGAACTACACAACAACAGCGAACCACAGAGAAAACTGTCCCTAAACCCTAAACCCTAAACGAAACCCTAACCCTAACTAAACCCCTAAACCCTAAAACCCTAAACCCTGACAACCCAATAAACCCTATAAACCGTATAAACCCTACAAACCCTGTAAACCCCATAAACCCTAAAAACCCAGTAAACCCTGTAAACCCTAGAAACCCTATAAACCCTATAAACCCAATAAACCCTAAAAACCCTATAAACCCAATAAACCCTACAAAGGGGGCCTGGGCAAGCTCCCTGGTGGCCGAAGCCAAGGCATCCCGGGCGGATGCGGCGGCATCTAGGGCCTCTTTGGCCTGCGTTTTTAAGTGGGAAAATCTAGGGTTTAGGGTTTAAGGTTTAGGGTTTAGGTGAGGGTTTAGGGTTTAG